TCGCAATAAGGAGAACAGCCACAAAATAAACAGGACCCCTCCTGATGAACACACAGTCACACAGCACAGTAGCAAGATGTATAGAGTTGAGTGAGGTAGCGGGATGTGCCTCCGTATCATTCAAAATCCCAGTGACATGGCAAGCAAGGGCCTCCATTCGATAAGTCTTCATAGCACAACAAAATCGTTAATGGGTGGATCAGCTGAAGGCTATGAAAGGAATGTTGCAGCAGAGCTTTGCTCTCAATTATACAGGTTTGTCTGTTCACTGCAAGCAGCTAATGCCCCACCAGGGTACTGAGGGGCTTGCCATGCTATAAGCCTCTCAGTCTGAAATCCTTACAGAGTGTTCTACAGAATGTAAATTTCATCACGCCCTTTGATGATCAGCTCGTAGAGGTGGGTGTTTGGCAGAATTGTGACACCTGGGAGCTCCTAGTCACAGCTTAAAGACAGCAGTTACCAATTAACTGCTTCACTCTGAAGAGATGGAAGGGTGGTTTGGTGCTTGTAATTATGTCTGAGCGTCGTTCTTCAGGATTAGCTCTACCAAGCCCACTTGAGGGAGGAGCTAGAAAAAACAGCCTCAAATAAAGGACTGCATTACTGCAAATCTGGCTGGAGACCCACATCCAGGTGTATGAAACAACTGCAGGCAAGGCATGAAAAATAAGTCCAGATAAGATCTTGAGCCATCAGGTTGCTAGTGGCACACTCAGAGTGACCAAAGAGAGGAACAGCAATATTAAGACAGGAGCTCTGATGCCTGGACATTGACATAGTTGCCCTTAGAGAGCACATGCCAGGCAAATGAAAGAGCACAAAGGTGGTTATATTTTCTGCTGGAAGGGGAATTCTTGAGAAGACTGAATTCAGAGTTAGCATTGCCATCAGAAACAAGCTCGTCCAGAAAAAACACTAATTTTATCAAATAAACAGGCAGGGAGGACAAGGACGGGAAGCTCACGGGTCACAGGATCATGAAGATGGAGGAGTTGTCTGGGACACAAATACAAAGATTAGAACAAATTTTGGAAGTTAAGAAGCATTTCCAATAATACTCACTGTTTGCTACTGGCCAGTTTTGTTTTAGGTAACGGAACCAGACATTCTCGACAGTGCACCAGACTGATTATACTGAAACCATGTTGCTGTCTCTTTAGTTCCCTCCTAATACTCACTACCTCCTGGAGAGTAACCGGTAAAATGTCTACATCATGAAAATGAAAGGAAAACCCCCATTCGTTTAGTGAAGAGAGAAACAAGGTTAGCGTTTCAAGTGGATGACCCTTTTACAGAGAGTGGGAAAAGTTAACGGGAGGAGGGTAGGAAAAAGAACAAAAGTAAATTGTGAAAAATATTTCAGGACTTCCTTTCATTAACGAGAAGCAGCTCAAAGACCATGTGATGTGAATAACACCTTGCTGGCCTGGCCCAGTGCACATTATCCACTTACAATAAAATGGAATTGGTTTTTAAAAAATTAAACAGCACATGTATTCTGTCATGGATGTGGATGTCACTTGCGAGGCTGACATTTGTTGTCCATCCCAAATGTCGCTCAAACTTGGCCATTTCAGAGGGCAGTTAATGGCGTGAACAGCTTTTGTCTCCTTATCAAAGGAAAGATATACTGGAATTGGAGGTAGTTCAGAGAAGATTCACTAGGTTCTTCAATGGTAAAAAGTTGCAGCATGCTGCTATGCAGAGGGACCTGGGTGTCCTTGTGCATGAATCGCAGAAGGTAGGTCTGCAGGTACAACAAGTAATTAGGAAGGCAAATGGAATTTTGTCCTTCATTGCTAAAGGGATTGAAATAAAAAGCAGAGAGGTTATGTTGCAGCTGTACAAGGTGCTGGTGAGGCCACACCTAGAATACTGTGTGCAGTTCTGGTCTCCTTACTTGAGGGGGTGCAAAGGAGGTTCACTAGGTTGATTCCGGAGTTGAGGGGGTTGGCTTATAAGGAGAGACTGAGTAGATTGGGATTATATTCATTGGAATTCTGAAGATTGAGGGGGGACCTTATAGAAACATATAAAATTATGAAGGGAATAGATAAGATAGAAGTAGAGAGGATGTTTCCACTAGCAGGTGAAGCTAGGACAAGAGGGCATAGCCTCAAGATTAGAGGGAGCAGATTTAGGACTGAATTGAGAAGGAATTTCTTCACCCAGAGGGTTGTTAATCTGTGGAATTCCTTGCCCAGTGAAGTAGTTGACGCTACTTCAGTAAACGCTTTTAAAAAAAAATGGTAGATTTTTTTTGAACAATAAAGGAATTAAAGGATACGGTGAGAACGCGGGTAAGTGGATCTGAGTCCACGAAAGGATCAGCCATGATCTTATTGAATGGCGGAGCAGACTCGAAGGGCCAGAAGGCCTACTCCTGCTCCTAGTTCTTATGTGTTCTTGTGTTGATCCTGGTTATGGAAGGATTTTCTAATCGGGGGAAGCCGAGTAGGTCATTGGAGGTTAGAAGAATGAGAGATGATCTTATTGAAACATACAGGATTCTTAGGGCACTTCGCAAAGGAGATGAAGTAGATGAGTAAGGTGTCACCCAGTTAGGAGAGAAATGAGGAGGAATTTCTTCTTTCAGAGAATGGTCAATCTGTGCAATTCTTTACTGCAGAGAGCTGTAGAGGCTGGATTGTTAAATATATTCAAAGCCAACATGATCAGATTTTTTAATCAGGAAGATCATAGACAGAAAAGTGGAATGGAGGATGATCAGATCAGCCATGACCCTCATTGAATGACTGAGCAGACTCAGTGGACTGACTGGCCTACTTCTATTCCAATGTCTTATGGTCACCACTGAGGTGAGATTTATGTCCCAGATTTGTTAATCAAATTTAAATTCCACCAGTTACCATGGTGGGATTTAAACCCATGTCCCCGGAGTATTCAAAGGGATTACTGGTCCAATGACGTTAGCGCCACACCATCATCTCACCCAGGAAGTTAGTAGAGGGTAGTTCTCCTTGTCGTTGGCACTGCACTCATTACTTTTGTTAACAGTGACAAGTGGTCAACAGTAGTGGCAGCCTGGAATACAGTACAAAACAAACAATGCTGCAACACAGGTGAATAAACATGGGGCTCAGCCATAATCTACACTTCACTTAAAAATTGGGAGCACACCATTTTGAACACACCAACCATAGCTTTTGTTTCTGTAGTGATTGAATGAAATGAAATTCCCTGACAATGAAAATTGATTAATTCTATCACCTTGTTGCCTATGTAAAATCTTAACTACAATAATGTGAGTAGTTTTAGTCTCCTTATCTAAGGAAGGATATACTGGAATTGGAGGCAGTCCAGAAAAGTTTTGCTAGGTTGATCCTGGATATGGACGGATTTACACTCCAATTGAAATGAATGTGTCTATTACCTTATTTAAAATATCTCTTGTTCATTTATGAACACAGACTGGTATCAATAGTTAACATCACAAACAAGTCAGGTTCCATCCTTAACTTGTGTTCATAGTACTATCAAGTTCGTATTCGGACTCCAGTTTCTATAAAGCTCATATGAAAATGTGAGTCTGCCAAATCATATTTCTTCTCTTTCAAGCATAGGTTAGCATAATCAGAACTACCAGTTAACTAGGACTTCCCTAAGTTATTGGAGAATACATAGGATGGCCACAAAATTCTCCATTAAACTCAAATCAGCAAAACAGCGCCGCTAGAGTTTATATCCAGATTGTTTGAAGAAACACAAAAGCAATCATAACAGCAACGTGCCAACAATGAAATCAAACTTGGTCAAAAATAAATAAGAGTCTGTTGTTCTTAAGCTTTCTCTCAAACTATTTATAGGAAGGAGCTTTTAACAAAAAAAAAACTGGTTTGTGGGATAAACATGCAATGAGTTAAGCCAACATTTATTTTATAAATGAGAAACTCTAGCACAGGTTTTACGCAACAGGATGAGATAATGCAAATTTAAATGAAGAAGTCAGCACATGCTGTGCATTTTTCCACACATTAAAACTACTGCACAAACTCTGGCCCAAGGTGCACCATGATCACAGTTTCTTATCAAATTCCTACTGATCCGTACACTATTATTAAAGTAACAAGGTCAAATGAAGAAAGCTCCTTATTATATTAATTTCATAACGAGGCAATCTCAGACACAAGAAAAACATCAAGCAGGCATACATCATAGATGCGAATTAAATGCTACTAAATATCACTATTAGATGAATAGGGATGTTCCATCCATGGAACAAGATGCATGCCTATAGGAACATAGGAACTTTGCATCTAGTGCACAAAAGAATGCTGAAGCCAGCATGAAATTTTTTTACAAGACTTTGGATAGGTCAACGTTGGAGTATTGAATACAGTTCTCAACAGCCCATTGTAAAAAGAATGTGAACAGCTACGCAAAATAGGGACGATTAATCAGAGTCAGATGTTAGATGAAATGTTCTCTCTAATGAAGACCGAAATTAGCTTTTCTCCCATCACTATCACCCTTCATCTCTCCGAAAGATGATTAAAGGGTTATGGTTTTCAAGTAAATGAGAAACTTTCAGAAGGTTAGAAGCAATTTGCTATTTTCGATTTGAAAGCTGGTAACAGGTTTGTACAGATTGAAAATTCCCTCTGGAAGAAACAACGGGATGTTAGGAAAAGTCTGTCGTATATACAGTTACTGAAAGAGAATGTTTTAGGCACAAATGACTGCTACCTAGAGACAAAAAAAATTGTTTTTAAAAAGCAACTGGGTTAGTATTTGACAAAATGAATGATACAGGTGAAGGACAGAAAAATAAAGTCAAGTGATTGACTTAGACAGCCACATTCACACACCTGTAGACCCCAGAGATCAAACAGCCCTCTGTAATGCCTGAAACTACCGCATTCAACTACTGGACAAAACAACAATTCAACAAAGTGCACTTGGAAACATTCTAACACACAAAACAATATCGAATAGTTAAAGGAAGGTTTGATGTAATTCTGTTCAGTATTTCATACCCTCCAGTGATTGGGTGGTGGCTACCACACCCTTTTCTGGCTCTGTTCTGAGAAACATGTTCGTTCCAGGACTGGGTCGAGGCTCATAGTAAGACAAGGCCTCACATGGGGGAGATGCAACACCGGACTCCCGAGAAACAACTTTATCTGATGACTCTGTCTGGACAGGAAACAAAAGTTTTAATGAGGTCAATTATTCTGGACTTTTTCTGAACAAACAACAGATCAGTAACATATGAATTTAGTAACCAAACTGTAATATGCAGTTCAGCAAATATTAACAAGGTTCTAATCACAGGTACACATAAACCCAGATTCTAAAATTAAAGTACTTGTGCATGCCAGAGAATGCCAGTACCATTGCAGAGAGAGAATGGGCTCCTGGTCAATGAGCTCACAGCACCTGTACTGTAGTTTATACACTCTATCAGAGATACTTTACATTTAGGATTGCCTAGAGGACTAAAGTTTTGAAGGATTGTGAAACTTTTATTTACTTCAAGTTCTGTGGAAATATCTGGAGAGATTTCTGTAAAAGAGGTAATTGAAGGCTCACTGTCAACATTGGAGACATTTTTTAAACAAGGCTTCTTAGAAATCACATGACTGATAACAACCACATGCTTTGCTAAATATTTTTATGTGGGGTGTTTTGAATGCTGATGGACTTGGAGAGGTGCTTGTTTTATTTGAAACAAAAACAAAGACAAAGTCAGCAGGTCTGGCAGTATCCGTGGAGAGAAAACAAACGTCAAGTTTTCAGGTCCAACGACCCTTCATCAGAACTAGTAGCAGCTAGAAGAAGGTGGTATACTACTAGCTTGTGTTGGAAGAAACCTGCTGATAACAAGTCAAGTTGGAGAAAAGCTTCCGAAGAACAAGCTATCAGCTGATTTCTCTCATTTCTGAAAAGAAAACCCTTTTGTTGAGTTCAGGGTGAAACCGATTTTTTCTGCGAAAAGACTGGCAGAAGAACCACCAAAATTGTATTTTCTGAGCAAGCATTGTTTGTAACGCTTCAGGGCCAATCGTGCATGTATACTGACTTGACCACACTGAACAGAACAGCACAGCAACAGGCTCTGGAAGATTTTACACTTTACTTTTTTGCTTTCAAACATAACAGATTGACTAGAGTGATTTCTTTTTTTCAGAAAGCCAATCCCTGCAGAGAAATCTGCTTTTATAAAATTTTTTTTCCCAGAAGAGTTTGTTTGTTTGCATGTGTGTTTTAGGAATGTTGAGGGATATGCATTTATATTTCTAAATTATAGACTGTGTATGTCAACCAATTTTTGCATCTTCATCAATTGAGCTCTGATTTGATAATAAACCAATAATTGTGCTTAGTAAGAAACTTGGTTGATATACCTTGTTGCTTAAACCTATTATCGGCAAGACATTTAATTGGTCATCTTGGTAACTGAAAGAAGTCATTTTTTAAAAAAATGTTGTGTTCCTTTTTTATGTTATGTAGTGGGACTAGAGTGACGGTGCACTCTAGCCTGGGTTGTAACAGTACATTGATTTCAAATAAATCATTCTCATACATTTGACATTATTTTTTCTAAGAAAGATTCTTGTTCTTCCTAAACATTTTCCACACTATCTCCATTTTGAAGCTTGAAAATGCCATGACCCTTCGGTGTGAGAAAACTTAATGATGACAGCAGAGGGGGGAAATTTGGCCATTACTGTCTCACAGCTCACAAACCCAAATTTCCAGTTTGTGACTTTTTTGGGGTACTGGCTCCCACATAGGAAGCTAAAGAGTTTATGTAAAGAATAAAAAGAAGCATGATAATGTGGGTCTATCATTTCATTTTATTGTTCAAATATTTAAGATCAAGTCTTCAGGAGGTTTGATATTTCTGAATTTCATTATATGCAGGTTGGGTTCTTAAACCCAAGAGATCTGAAGTAAAATTTCAGATTTAATATGTGCAAATTTAAATAAATAAACAAATCTGCAATGTTTAATTTATCTCAATGTATCCCTGTGACATTACAACTGGAGTCAAGATTGAAGACACTGTCTTCATGTGTAGCTCATGTAGAACAAAGCATTCAGAAAATAAAAACTGTACCTGTGTTAAAACCACAGATTCAGTTATGATTTTTACATTTTCATTATCAATTCCCGTGTCTATGGCTGTAATGAATTTTGCTTCTGTAATCTTCTCAAGCTGCATTTACACTCTCCTGCCTTCAAGCTGCAGTAAGATGGAGTATTTGCGAACAAAATAATTGAGGTATTAGTAATAGAGTCAAGCTACAGATCAGCCATGTTCAAACTAAATGAGAAGATAGATTCAAGGGGATGAATAGCCTGTTATTCCTGTAGTCAGATTTTTTTTTAAAATCAAGCTTATGTCAGGAGTCACACTGATCACCAATGACAAAATGTTATGGAGAGCTGCTACAAATTTACAGAGTGGATTACACAATGGCATCTCAATTATCTATACAACAAAATATGAATATTGGAAATTCTTAGCTAGCGTTCCTAAAATAACACAGCAGAGTACTGTGCTGAATTTGACAAGCAGTCCCAATTCCCACTGGATTTCCCATTAAGCACAATACTTTGAAAATGCACATGCAATAATGGAAATAATTGAGGGCCCATTATGTACTGCAACACAGCAGAATAGAGAAAAGCATTTAAGTAGGAGTTTTTAAAAGGGAGATTCAATCCATACCAAGTTGCTAGATAATGATTGAGCTGGAATTCTTGCAATGTCTTTCCTTTCTCAGCTAAAGAATGTTAAGCAATTTTATGCACTTAACACACTGACTGTGATCAATTCAGTCAACCCACATGAGAAAGGGCTTTGGGCCTTAATTGCACTGTGGAGGTGGTGTTCATTGTGTTTGGAAGTTTTGAGTGGTATTCTTTAGTTTTGGCATCAATGAATAGATCATAAGGTTAGGGAGCATGAGAAGTAGGCAATGGAAGTTGGGGTAAAACTCATGGGGAAATATGAAAAAAGGCAGCAGATGGATACCGGGAATTCTAGGGCTTGCCAAGACTGGACTGGGCTGGGCTGGACAGCCATGGGATGAATTTTATCTCCCAGAATTTATCTGTTATTTGTGTGACCAGGATTGAAGCTAGACTTGGCCTGTTCACAAGCTAGTTTTGAGCATTTTAAAACATATTTTCCAACTACAACTGCAGGATATGATTGCTGAAAATATAGTTTGGAGCTCAGCACAGGCACAGACTAATGCCCAGAAACAGGTACAAGGCAACTTTCATAGCTCAAGATATCAGGACAACATCATAGCAAGGTGAGATGGACCAGCTATTAGTTGCAACAGGTGAGGATAATGTGTTCTGGGTAGAAATGACTGAATCTATCTATAGAAAGACTGCAGGTCAAACCTAAATGTTTAAAACCAAATCAGAAACATAAATTATTGTTTCACGGTCAAACTTAAGCCTTAGGCTGGGATCAATAAGGACTTGGGCACACCTTGATATCACTTTGTGCCAATCAAATGATTACTTTCAGTTTTCTTTTAAAAAAAATGTCTATTAACAAGTGCTTGTTAGGAAGTAGCATTCAACCAACTTTTTTTTGTAAAAGACACGTTGAAGCATGTCTCTTGCCTGTTAATTGTTAGTGGCATTTGAGTAAAGCATTGTAACTTTTATGATATTGAAGTTTTGGCTATTTAAATTATTAAGTCTTGTTATAGTTGACAAAATTTTGATACAATTTTCATTGATACAACTACTGCAAATTAGTTACAATGTTATAAATTGTACTTTGTGCGTGGAAGATTGATTTGTTTTACATTGCTATTTAAAGTTGGGTTCTGGTTCGCTGCTGTTTAACAAACACCAAATGTAAGGTAAAGCATAATCTTTAAATACTCTACCCCATAAAGTCAGTCCTGGTCAAACTCCATGCTGTCTAAACAATCCTTTTCCTCAAGCAACTAGAGTCACCAGAACTAATAGTATGGCTCACAGTTTCAACCCCACACCTTCTGACTGACTGACCATAAGGAACGATACACAAGGTGATCGATACAACCAGAAAGAAACCCCAAGCATATTCTGGTAAGGTCGATTATGAAAAGTAGGAAAGCTCGCGAGACAGCCTGAAACGTAACATCCACAAAAACCCGCTGGTTCTACAAAGTTCTCCAGTGGAAACAAACTTCTCATTAGCCTCAAGCCTCATTCCCTGGAGGCCCTATCGAAGCTCACTGCAATGCAAAACCAAAAGGCAATGAATAATCACAGGATAACCTAAGTTACGCTATGTTTTTTCATATGATTTGCATGGTTAATAATATAGCATGAAAACATTTTACAGGCCTGGTCCTTCATGGCAATGGCATGTAGCAGGAGGTACAGATTCGTAATAACCTTGCCAAATGTTCCACTTTCCAAGCTAACGAGCGATGTCAAAAAAACCAGGCTTCTGCTTTTATGCAATACAATAATTATAAATTCATTGTTGCATTACGCTCAACTTTAGAGGGGTTTATATGTCTTTTTATTTAGGGCCAGGGAGTTTTATCGAACAAAAGCTGTTTCGAAGTTCAGCGTTTCCTCATAATCCAGCACCTAAAATCAAACAACTATTGATAATTGATGAAAAGCATCTTTCCGAGCACTTGAAAATTTTGATACCGAAGCACTGATCAAAGTATCCACAATTCTAGGATGTCGGTCAAGGGTCCCAGTGCAGGGATTTCCAGATTTTAAAAAGCACTGAGTGATTGGAAACGTGCATTCTCTGTAAGTGCGCGGGAAAGCTTTGATCAGTTTCACTAGAATTGTAAACAAAACCGTTCCGGGACTGCGCTCCCTCGAAATATAAAGGGGCAAGATCCGCATCCGACCTCGGGATGCAGCACAACAGCAACACGCCGACCCTCGAGGAGCCTGCTCTACTGTAAACAACTCACCAGCAATTCAATTCGAGCAGCGCTGCTGTGCTCTCGCCAGCTTCAGAGGAATGTCCGATATTGTCACAAGATGACGTTCGCAACATTAACCCAGCTACAATGTAGCCATTTTAAAACATTGTATCAAACATCGCGAGACTGTGATCGAGGTGGGGCACTAATACAAGTTTAAAGGGCTCCTGTGTCGAGGAATCACACCCAATGCAAAACAATCTGCTTCCTGATGCAGTGTAAATCGATCTAATGTGCAGGGAAGCACCGAACTACCACGCTGCATCCAATGTAAATACTGTCTGTACCCAGTGCTTTTCAATCTGCTTCCGTTCTAAAATACAGTCCGCATTCAGTGTAAAATGCAATCTACTTCTAATGTAAAATAGTCTGCACCGAATATAATCTGCTTCCAAATTAAAATACAATCTAATTACAATGCAAAATACAGTGCACACCCAATGCAATATATTCTGCTCTCAATGTAAAATACTGTTCGCTTCCGACGTAAAATACACTCTACACCCAAGACAATACAGGCTGCTCTCAATGTAAATCACATTCCACACCCGATGCAATACAATCTGCTTCCAATGTAGAACACATTCCACATCCAATGCAAACTGCTCTCGATGCAATATTATTCAGCCCCAATGTAAAATAGAATCAACATCCAATTTAAAATATAATCCACAGTCTCATGCAATACAGCCTGGACCCAGCACAAATTAATGTGCACTTATGCAATACACTTTGCACCCCCTACTGTCCTGTTACAGTAAAACTGTGCGAAGGGTGACCAGAATTTCAAAAATCACCCCCTACTGTCCTGTTACAGTAAAACTGTGCTAAGGGTGACCAGAATTTCAAAAATCAAAATCAAAACACATTGCAAAGCTTTGGGAAGGTGATCCTTAACATGTTGGTCAACCAATGGCAGGAGACTGGAGCAGGGACAATTACATCTCCTAGAATATGTCCAGTCAGGGTTGGCAACTTGTCCAATGCCACAGTAAAACGACTGCCTGTTTAAAAACAAACAACTCCCCTTTCCCTGATAAGAATGTCACAGTTCAATAATACAGTTTTACGCCGATACTCTGTGCATATTACCAATGTTGACTTTGAATGCTTTCTAAAACCAACAAATGATTGAACCTGAAATAGTAGGAACTGCAGATGCTGGAGAATCTGAGACAACAAGGTGCAGAGCTGGATGAACACAGCAGGCCAGGCAGCATCATAGGAGCAGAAAGGCTGATGTTTCCAGCCTAGACCCTTCATCAGAAATGGGGGAGGGGAAGGGGGTTCTGAAATAAATAGGGAGAGAGGGGGAGGCGGATAGAAGATGGATAGAGGAGAGGATAGGTGGAGAGGAAACAGACAGGTCGAAGAGGCGGGGATGGAGCCAGTAAAGGTGAGTGTAGGTGGGGAGTTAGGGAGGGGATAGGTCAGTGCAGGGAGGACGGACAGGTCAAGGGGGCGGGATGAGGTTAGTAGGTAGGAGATGGGGGTGCGGCTTGAGGTGGGAGGAGGGGATAGGTGGGAGGAAGAACAGGTTAGGGAGGCAGGGACGAGCTGACTGGTTTTGGGATGCGGTGGGGGAGGGGAGATTTTGAAGCTTGTGAAATCCGATATCCATTTCAAGCCCACCGACTCCCACAGCTACCTAGAATACACCTCTTCGCACCCACCTTCCTGCAAAAATGCCATCCCCTATTCCCAATTCCTTCGCCTCCGCCGCATCTGCTCCCAGGATAAGGCATTCCACTCCCGTACATCTCAGTTGTCCTCGTTTTTCAAGGACCGCAACTTCCCCCCCTCAGTGGTCGAGAACGCCCTCAACCGTGCCTCCCACATTTCCCGCAACTCATCCCTCACACCCCGTCCCCGCAATAAGAACATCATCCTCCGACACTTCCGCCATCTGCAATCCGACCCCACCACCAAAGACATCTTTCCCTCCCCACCCTTATCTGCTTTCCGGAGGGACCACTCTCTCCGTGACTCCCTTGTCCGCTCCACACTCCCCTCCAGCCCCACCACACCCGGCTCTTTTCCCTGCAACCGCAGGAAGTGCTACACCTGCCCCCATACCTCCTCCTTCACCCCCATCCCAGGCCCCAAGATGACTTTCCACATCAAGCAGATGTTCACCTGCACATCTGCCAATGTGGTATACTGCATCCGCTGTACCCGTTGTGGCCTCCTCTACATCGGGGAAACCAAGCAGAGGCTCGGGGACCGCTTTGCAGAACACCTGCGCTCGGTTCGCAATAAACAACTTCACCTCCCAGTCGCGAACCATTTCAACTCCCCCTCCCATTCCTCAGACGACATGTCCATCCTGGGCCTCCTGCAGTGCCACAACGATGCCGCCCGAAGGTTGCAGAACAGCAACTCATATTCCGCTTGGGAACCGTGCAGCCCAATGGTATCAATGTGGATTTCACAAGCTTCAAAATCTCCCCTCCCCCTACTGCATCCCTAACCTGTTCTTCCTCCCACCTATCCCCTCCTCCCACCTCAAGCCGCACCCCCATCTCCTACCTACTAACCTCATCCCGCCCCCTTGACCTGTCCGTCCTCCCTGCACTGACCTATCCCCTCCCTAACTCCCCACCTACACTCACCTTTACTGGCTCCATCCCTGCCTCTTCAACCTGTCTGTTTCCTCTCCACCTATCCTCTCCTCTATCCATCTTCTATCCGCCTCCCCCTCTCTCCCTATTTATTTCAGAACCCCCTTCCCCTCCCCCATTTCTGATGAAGGATCTAGACCCGAAACGTCAGCCTTTCTGCTCCTCTGATGCTGCTTGGCCTGCTGTGTTCGTCCAGCTCTGCACCTTGTTGTCTCAAACGATTGCACCTTCTTCTCTTCGTCTCTTTTTCTCTATTCTGGATTGCGTTTATTTTTAAAAAAAAGACTCTGGGTTTGGAGCTGTTTTCAGAACTTACCTCAGTTTTACAGGAGGTGCCACTAACAAGGATATTAAACTGAACACAGGGCTAAGTGCTGCTTGGCCTGCTGTGTTCATCCAGCCCTGCACCTTGTTGTCTCGGATTCTCCAGCATCTGCAGTTCCTACTATCTCTCACCCAAAAGGTTACATTCTTTTTGAAGAAAAGGAAGTTTTGGAACTTTGAAAAACTCCTGGATCAAGACTTAATTTTCCTGCTGAGTTAGTGATTTCTTGTAAATTGCACAGTGTAAGGACTGATGACTGTTTTACACTCTGAATGACCAATATTGCAATCCAGTGCTTGCTTGCTCTTTTTCCCTTTTCCCCAGCCCTAGTCCTCACTGACCAGTTGATTTCACATGAATCCATTGAAACCTTTCCTAAACTGGTTGCAATGTGACAGAGTGGAAGTTGCCGCCTAGGTGGGGCTTCATCAATTGCACCCAAAATACCACTGCACGCAACACTTTCTATTAGATACTTATCAATCCTCTTTGCAAAACCTCAAATCCACCACTGACCAGTAAACCAGACACCAGGGGCCTCCTGTGGAACAGTGATAGAATCCTACCTCTGAGTCAGGGGACCTGGGTTCAGGTCCCACCAACTCCAAAGAATTTAATAACATCCCCGAACAGGTTGATTAGGAAAATAGCTAAACCAGACACCAGGATGTTTGCTGTAAAAGAAGTCTAGTCAATGGTTATCCTCGCTGTGTTCCAAGTGCCTGTGCCTTCATTCTGAAAGATCTACCAGTCAATTCCCTTCTCAACTTTTTAGTTCTTTTTCTGTTTCTTAATTATGGATTCTGGTCCACCATTATTTCTAATAGTGATTTACATAGGTTTAAGGTGAGAAGGGAAAGATTTAAAAAGGACCTCAGGGTAACTTTCTCATGCAGAGTATGGAATGTGTATCTAATGCACTGCCAGAAGAAGTGGAGGAGGCTGGTAGAATTACAATGTTTTGAAGGCATCTGGATGGGGACATGAATAGGAAGGGCTTAGATGGATATGAGCCAAATACTGTCAAATGGGACTAGGTTTAATTTAGGATATCTGGTCAGCATGGTCAAGTGCATCTCTATGACTCCATGACTCTATGTCCCAACGGTAACATCACCCTCAACTTCTGTTTCTCTCTTCTCTGATGTTGCTGAACCTGAAGGGTATTTCTGGCATTTTCTGTTATTTGGAATATAGGAACCGAAGTAGGCCATTCAGCTCCTTGAGCCTGTTCCACCACTTAATGAGATCATGGCTGATCTGCAGATTAACTCAATACCTACTTTTGGTCCATATCCCATAATACCTTTGCTTAACAAAATGTATTTATCTCAAATTTAAAATTAAATTTTACTCCAAATATTTAATATTTAATTTTACTTAATAAGGACTAAGTTTTCCTTATTAATACTTTTGAATACCTCAATAGATCTTAAATTTGAACTTCCATTTTGATGTAGAGATTTTAATTATAAAATTGAAAAATGGCATCTTTGGTGATTGGCATTTCATTACGTTTAATGTATATTCTCAGAATTAATTTTTGACATTCATAGTATCCAGTCTTGACGTAAATGTTCGAACGACTGTGAGCATTGTCATCGTCAGCACAGAAAATGCACAAGCTACCCAACAGCTCAGCTAGCAAGTTTGATTAAAAAACATGAGTAATGTTTTATGGACAGAGATAGCAAGAAGTGCAGATGCTAGAGTCAGAGACAGCACAGTGTGGAGCTGGAGGAACACAGCAGGCCAGGCAGCATCAGTGGAACAGGAAAGTTCATGTTTGTTCAAAAGGGTCATTGTCATCACCATGAGGACTGCAAAGGTGAAGAGCTGATGTGCGGTTTCTATATCCCGTTTGACAGGAGTTGGGAAGTACCCAATAATGTGGTGACCAGTTGAATTCTGGTTTATTGAGTGTAGACTCAGAGATGATATGATGACTTGAAGGGGCATTTGATGTCCACTTCTAATGCCAGTCAGTCAGTAAGGAAAAGTCAGTGGTAGCAGGGAAGATAGGGTAGTGGGGTTATTTGAAATCTCAGGGGAATGGATGTCTCTGCCCTATTGTGAGTAACCTGAAGCCAGCTAAGGATCCAGTTATGCTCAGGCTTACTGGCAAGGGTGAACATTGGAAGCAGCACATTTTTGGTGGTGAAGAGCTAGAGGAGGGTGTCTGCTTA